GTCGTTACAAGTTGGTATCAGAGCCTTGGTTTGAGGGATTCGGGTACACCTTCGGGAGTATTTGAACTAAAACTGAGGATTTGGAAAATATTTTCAAAAGAGAACCAAGTTTTCTAAAAAGAGTAAAAGATTTTTTTTAGAGAAACACAGAGCAGAGACGTGTGTACGATCAGTCAGCGCCTGAACGGTGATTTCCCAAAATACCCCTATGTTATATGTTTATGAGATTGATATGATGTATTCTCTTGCTAGAGTGAGCTAGGTATTCCTATTAGGACTAGGGTGGCCTGATTTGTGATGCCTTATCCTAGGGGAAAGTGAGCTGCTATGAGATGCTTGAGAGTGAGTAGGTAGCAGTGAGGAGCTATGAGAGATCTATAGAAAGTGGATTATGCATAATAGAGTACTTGGGACTTGGGATCCTAAGAGGAGGACTTGGGGTGTACATTGATACGGTGCGGACAGTAGTATTGGGCTCGTACTACTGAAAACACCGGGGCAGTGTACAATTCAAGTAAGAATCTTCGTGATGCCAGAGATCAAGGAGGGATGCGTTATCGAGTGCGAGTATGCTCGAATGAATTTCTAATATATCGTATGTTGTATTTTAGAGGTAGATCATGGTGAGGACACGACTTATGCCAGAGAGCAGCGAGACTAGTGATGAGGAGATCCGTCGGATCATCCATGAGGAGGTGGCTGCGGCCATCAGGGCAGAGATACCAGAGATGTTCGGGTCTATTAAGACCAAGTTGATTGAGACTTTTGATAAGCGTTATGACGCTCTTTCTGAGGCTGCTGTCGCAGCGGCCACTGCAGCCGTCGTTGCTGCTAGACCGCAAGGGGGTGACTCATTGTTGTTCAGGGAGTTCAACAACACGAAGCCACCAGAGTTTGATGGGGTGCAGGATCCGATTGCAGCGATGATATGGGTATCTGACATTGAGGGGTGTTTCTATACTTGCTCGTGTCCGGAGCACTTGAGGGTTCGATTTGCGATGAACCAGCTTCGCCTAGGGGCGAAGGACTGGTGGAAGTTCGCGACAACACACTATTCTCCAGCAGAGCTTGCGGCGGTGACCTGGGAGAGCTTCACCACCATGTTTCGTGATGACTATGTTCCCTCGGTGGAACGAGATCGGTTGGCACAGGAGTTTTTGACCCTCAAGCAGGGTACGGAGTCTGTTACGGCTATTACCAGGATGTTTCATGAGAGGGCAATGTTCTGCCCTGAAAACGTGTCTACTGAACAGGCGCGAATGAGCCGTTATTTGAGTATTTTGAGGATAGACATTCGGGAGTTCGTGTCGAACTCCTCAAATACTTCAAACTCTTGTGACCCGTGACTATTTATCCTAAATAATGCTAAATTAAAAAGTCTATTTAATGTAACTAGTCATTTATACTGCAAGGTGAAAACATGGTGTTACATCTCTCCCCCACTTATAAAGATTTCGTCCCCGAAATCCTACTCCTAGCATACCTTAAGATAGTGGCTTCACACTATTTTACTAGGGTGGTCGAGGTTAACCAATGACCCAGCTAACTTTTCTCTATCGGTTATGCTCTTCTATGCTTATTAAGTCGCAAAACTAAGTTTTTCTTTAAATGTATCCTTGGATTCCTCATGAAGCTTTCCTACACCGAGATCTCGTCGTTTTGGACTTCAAGAAATCATATTTTATGATTGGTGATTGCATCCAGATGTAAACCGAGGATTTGTTCCGCTGACTAGGAACATTGTCGGATTGTTATAAAGTGAATATCTTGGGAGTTTTATCTACGACGTCCTGCCGAAATCCACCTTTTGGAACATTCCCCTATAAAAGGCTTAGAGTATACTATCCGAATTTGTGTCCAAGAGACACCTTTCTATGGTATACCCTTAAAACACACACGATCGTAATTTAAAAGCAGTCCATCTTTCTAGTTTAGGTGTTCTAACAACCTGAAATTTAACCAAGGCTACTACGACAAGTTTACTAGTTCGAAAACTTTGGAGCCAATATTTTAATATTGATGACGGGTTCCTCTTAACACTTCCATCCTACTAGGTTATAATGAACATTGGGTTACCAATCACCTTTTCTCAAGGATCTAACTACATTACCTGTATTTTAACTATCAACCGAGCAATTTGTTCCTACATATGCTCACTACACGATGTGATACAATCCAACTGTTGGGATTATGATGTGAAACCGCTAATATCGTCATCCCTACTAGGCCTGAAGACTCATGATTAATCCCTTGGTGGTCTTGAAGACTCACCACTATTATCCGACTGACGTGAAGAAACCTATTCACGACCCTTATTTGGTATTTATTGATCATAACACATCCATGTTCCTTCAAATTTTATTGCTACCATTGATTTAAAAACTTTAACCTATGTAATATGGATGCTAAATTCTTATCGTTGTCCAACATTATCCTGTGATTGTTAACCTTTGGTCCTAGTTTTATATTAACCCTTATGCTCATCGATAAAAGAAAAACTAAACAAACACAAATTCTACCCTGAAGCCTAAATTAATTGTGACATCTCGGAAATTAGGTCTAAATCTGTAGAAAATAATTTTACTGTGAACCATATTGTATTAGGACCTACGACATATTAACTCGGTGATTTTAAGTACAAATGAGATCATGTTACTCATAAGTGCCTACGGGATACCTTAAAACCCTCGAAAAGTTTACAATCGTTATCAAACAGGAAGCATTTCAAAAATCAGTCGTGAGACCTGATACCCTAAAAATCAAATTTCTGCAATTGACCTAAATGGGGGCCATGAATGATAAAATTGGATACAACATGTTCTTACGATTATGTGGATATAAAGAACATCCAAAACGGAGATAGTATAAGAAAGTTATGCATGTTTTAAGCTTTTAAATAGGTATATACCTGATTTTTCTCGGTACTGGACATTACATAGCTTAGTTTGAGATACCTACACATATCGTAAATTAATTTTGAGCACATTTCTAAACTCAGGCTTTGGAACCCGAATGACGTGAAACTTCGAATGTCGTTTAATAGAGATTCGTATATCAGATTCGAGTTCCGTTTGAATATTTGAAACCACAGCGATTGTGATATTTTCCATACGCTTTCAAAGTATTTTTATGAGCTCTGAAACTAACTTCATGTAAATCGAGGCAACTAGTGTGTGGGATAAATCAAGGGGGACACAAAAGCATGCTTGCATGCATGATTATAAGAAAGAGTCAACTCTTTGACCCTTGACCCATGTTTAGTCAACATTATATATATATATATATATATATATATATATATATATATATATATATATATATATATATATATATATATACACTAGTCGTTTACCTAGGAAGTTTTATCTACGACGTCCTACCGGAATCCACCTTTTGGAACATTCCCCTATAAAAGGCTTAGGGTATACTATCCGAATTTGTGTCCAAGCGACACCTTTCTATGGTATACCCTTAAAACGCACACGATCGTAGTTTACAAGCAGTCCATCTTTCTAGTTCAGATGTTCTAACAACCTGAAATTTAACCAAGGCTACTAGGACAGATTTACTAGTTCGAAAACTTTGGAACCAATATTTTAATATTGATAACGGACTCCTCCTAACGCTTCTATCCTACTAGATTATAATGAACATTGGGTTACCAATAGCATTTTCTCAAGGATCTAACTACATTACCTATATTTTAACCATCAACTGGGTAATTCGTTCCTACATATGCTCACTACACGATGTGATACAATCTAACTGTTGGGATTACGATGCGAAACCGCTAATATCGTCATCCCTACCGGGCCTGAAGACTCATGATTAATCCCTTGGTGTTCTTGAAGACTCACCACTAATATCCATGTTCCTTTAAATTGTGTTGTTACCATTGATCTAAGAATCGTAACCTATGTAATACAGATGCTAAATTCTTATCGTCGTCCTACATTATCGTGTGATTGTTAACCTTTGGTCCTAGTTTTATATTAAACCTTATGCTCATCGATAAAAGAAAAACGAAACAAACAAAAATTCTACCCTGAAGCCTAAATTAACTGTGACATCCCGAAAATTACGTCTAAATCTGTAGAAAATCAATTTACCTTGAACCATAATGTATTAGGACCTACGACATATTAACTCGGTGATTTTAAGTAAAAATGAGATCATGTTACTCATAAGTTCCTTCGGGATACCTCAAAACCCACGAAAAGTTTACCATCGTTATCAAACAGGAAGCAGTTCAAAAATCAGTCGTGAGACCTGATACCCTAAAAATCAAATTTCCACAATTGACCTACATGGGGGCCATCAATGATAAAACTGGATACGACATGTTCTTACGATTCTGGGCAAAGCGACGGGTGGTGAATAGTTTGTTTCGGCAATAATTTTCATTTCGTTATTTGTTATATGTCAAGGAATACAAAATATACACACACTGTTATCACACGGTTTTATAGCAAAGAACAGTTATAACACACATAATGAATAAGAAAATAAATTTTTAGTGTGCAAGTTATTTTGATTACCCTTCCCTTTAGAAATTAGGGTACATTTTATTGCTTTCCTTAATTTGGCCTATTCATTCATTAAATTCGAGAACAATAAAGCCAAGGGGGTTGTGCGACAGAAAAGTTTTGTGAGGTTTAAGATTTTTTTTTCAAAAAAAAGTCAAAAAAGTCTTCGTTTGCACTTAAAAGAATGTGGGTTTAAATAGATGATCGATAAAAGTAAAAAAAAATGGCTACACTTTGAGGGTAATGCAAGTACATCATGTTTCTAAGTGTAATGCAAGTTAGCTGCTAACATAGGTACAAATATATAACTACATTTCTAGAAACAGGGGATTATATTGCTAGTAAAATATATAAGTACATTGCTATTAAGGACAAAAAATATATTGGTTGCTATTATGAGTAAAACGTTACATAATCATGTGATACTTTGAACATAGAACTATACATAATTTTACATAGGTCATGACTTCACCTTCCAACCTATGTCAAAACCTTGCACAAATCCTAAAAGCCTTCTATATATTGACGGGCTGTTCTATCCCAACCTTCGTACATTGAAATGGTAGCATCTCCTTCTCTTTCTTCTCCTCCCTCTCCTTCCGCCCCTTCATCATGCACCAGTAAAGAAACCAACTTTTAAAGTAAAATTGTCAGTAAACTAAAATTCACCCATTCTAATAAGGCATGTATTTTAAAATCGTAACCAACATCTAAATTAGGATGCTTAAACAAACAAATTAATAAAGGTCGCTAATTTAGAGTATAGATTATCATTTTTTTAAATTAAAGTTGCTTCTATATATGTAATGGTCAATAAAACTTTAAAATAATAATTAATAATAGTCATTGTACTTTAAAATAGCAACAAATGTTTAAAGTATGATGATGTAATAAATGAAAATTAAAGTTTGTTGCTATATTAGAGTATAATTATAGATTTTTTAGAAATTAAAGTTGGTGTGATGTCAAAATTCAACTTTAAAAATAACATCCAATTTTAAAATAGAACTAAATTTCAAAAGTCGAAATTCCAAAATCCAATTTCTAGGTCTGATATCCAACAACAGTAGGTCTGCCAAATCGAGTTTTTAGCAAAAAGTTAAGATGCAAATAACCGAAACACCAAGTAATAGTATGATGTAATCTGTATTAAAAAAAAAGAGATTACAATTTTCGAAGTGTATGTGTATTGAAAATTAGTAACAGGTGACACCTAATTCCTTTGGAATATCGAAATGCATGTCACTTTAGGGCCAGTATTGAGCCAATTAGGACTGGGATTTGTATAATTAAGAAAAACCCATTGTGATTTAAAGTGTAAAACGATTCAAATTAACAGACTTTCTGTAATATAAACACAAAAACTGAAAGTTTGTTAATAGACAAAATTACATAAATGGTCCTCATGGTTGACAAAATCGACCAATAATGGTCCTTATGACGAATTCCTTACACGGATGGTCCTTGTGGTTTTAAAATCTTGCAAAGATGGTCCTTTTGACTAACGGTGTTAACTTTTTCAGTTAAGTCCTATGTGAAATGACATATTTGCCCTTCATGCATAAGGACGCTTTATGTAATATGTTTCTACCACAGGGACTATTTATGTAGTTTTCTCTATTATTTATTTTTTATTTATTTATTTTAATTATATATTTAAGGATTTAGATTTGTTTAAATTTATTATATATATAAATATATATATATATATATATATATATATATATATATATATATATATATATACACTAACATTTTTTAACGTTTTGCTCAAATTATTTTATCTAATCTTTTTAACATTTTCTTCAAGTAAATTTATTAATGTTTTTTATTTTGACGTTATATATATATATATATATATATATATATATATATATATATATATATATATAACGTTTTGCTCAAATTATTTTTTCTAATCTTTTTGACATTTTCTTCAAGTAAATTTATTAATGTTTTTTATTTTGATGTTTTATTCGAATATTTATTTACAACACTGCTATAAACAAAAAAAAAAAACTCGAAATAATTACATTTAAATCCAATGTGAAATGACCCGGTCGTTCTCAGCAACGTTGTGAGGCGGTCTCAGCATAACCTATGTCTACCTAATATATTAATCATATTCACGTTTAACAAACATTTTACACTTTTTTATAAAAAATGTTAATAAATTAGTTTACAAAAATAATAATTATACAACCTTATATAGTTAAATATTCGAATTAAAAACATAATAATTATATAACCTGATAAAAGAAAAAAAAAATGAAAACATACTATATGTTGAAAAATGTATTCAAACATAACGTCAAAATAAATAAATAAATAAATAAATAAATAAATAATATTGGAATAAAACGTCAAAATAAAAAACATTAATAAATTTACTTGAAGAAAATGTCCAAAAGATTAGAAAAAATAATTTGAGCAAAACGTTAAAAAATGTTAGCATATATATATATATATATATATATATATATATATATATATATATATATATATATATATATATATTAAACAATAAATTTAAACAAATCTAAATATTTAAATATATAATTAAAATAATTAAAAAAGTAATAAATAATAGAGAAAATTACATAAATGGTCATTGTGGTAGAAACATATTACATGAAGCGTCCTTATGCATGAAGGGCAAATATGTCATTTCGCATAGGACTTAACTAAAAAAGTTAACGCCGTTGGTCAAAAGGACCGTCTTTGCAAGATTTTGAAACCACAGGGACCATCTTTGTAAAGAATTCGTTATAAGGATCATAATTGGTCGATTTTGTCAACCATGAGGACCATTTATGTAATTTTGTCTTGTTAATAAAAGTGTAAAAAATTTGTAAATGGATTCAATGCCAAATAAAATTATAATTGGCGTGTAAAAAGTCTGCAGGTATTCAGCAATAAACTAAATTATAATCTGAGTGTAAAAAATTTGCATATATAATATATTCAGTAATAAACAGAGTAACAGACTTACCCAATTCATGAACCGACATGAACAATGCCTTTGGAAGTTGTAAGTAACATGATGTCAAAATCTAACAGAGAAGTAATTGGAGTGTATTGACGCCAATAGTATGCAATATCATGCACCAAGATTCTACCATTGCGATTCACCACGCTTCCTCAAAGTAAAATGACCAATATACCCCTCCCCCGCTAAATACAGTCACATACACACATATTCACTATCGTCTTTAAAATGACTAATATTCCCTTACCCCTCCGCTCCCCATGAATAATCTTGAATATGAAATGGTCCATTTTACCCTCCACCTTACCTGCCAAGATTCAATGATTATTACATTTATTATTTATTATTGATATAAATATGTGTATAGCTTAGTTTTCCAGACCCCTCCCTCATCAAAAACCCTGCAACCATTCACACTTACGTTTATTATTAATATAAATACATGTATAGTTCTTTGTTTCTTTTTTGTCCATATTGGTAAAAAAAATCAAGCACATTTGAAATTTCAACATAGCTCTTTGCTTCTTTTCTGTTCATATAATGGGGGATATAAACCTAGGTTACATTGAGGACCAAGGATATAAACCTGGTAAGGCTTGTGGATGCTCCATAAATTGGTAATACTTCATAACTTTGCCTAATCGGATATATATAAGATGGAATAAGGCAATAATTGCACCCTCAAGTTCAACACCAAGCCCAGTGTTTTCGGTTATTAGGGATAATTGCTTTCTAAGTATAATGAATAAATAATTTTTTTTTAATAGAATAAAAAATAGAAATGAAATTGTGATTCTATATTAGACTAACAAACAAAATTAAAATGTGATTTCTTGCTATTTCAAACAAAATTTTTACGTATCACAAACCCTCATACCAGATTTCGGGCCTTCATATCAAATTTCAAACCTTCATTTGCTATTTCCCCATACTGTAACACACATGATAAGAATCAACGATTTGATTTTCAAAAACAAAAAAAGAATAAAGTTCAAAATAATGTAAATCCAAATTTATGTATTATTCGATGAATCTTTAAGTGTGGAATCTGGTTTCATATTGAAAAGCATAAACAAAAGTTAATAGGGAATCACATATCGATTTAGGAAGAACTTAAAATTTGTCGTACCAGATTAACCATAAAAAGAATAAGTAAGCGGTGGAGAAACATCTCTATAAAATTGAGTCCGAGTTGATCCCCGTATTTATTCCTGCACAGTGAAAAGAAATCCAACGTTATTCAAGAATAAACCAAAACCAAAAGGGAAAATGACTCTCAACGGTAATTAACTTTTGCGTTTGTACTCATTTGGTCACTTTCCCCTTTTTTTGTATTCAATATACCATCGAACTTGTTGTTTGTATTCACCATAACCCTTTTGACCGACTTTTGACTTGTGATAGCTGGTCAAAGGGTTATGGTGAACACAAACAACAAGTTCGATGGTATATTGAGTAAAAAAAAGGAAAATGACCAAATAAGAACAAACTCAACAGTTGGTTACCCTCCTGAGTCATTTTTCATTTACTCATTTACAGCAAATTCCACGTCAACTCCTACTGATATTAATGATTTTATGAGATTCATTATTGCTTCTCTTTAAAACATAACCCACGAAAGAACACTATTCATACATGTACAACTTTGTAATGCATTTGAATATTTATTAGGGGAATCTTGACTAAGCAGGCGCATTTCATAACTACATTTACATTTCCAGTTGAATGATTTATCGTATCATGGATTCTAGACAAGTCTACAAACGAGTGGAATCACAAGTGTTATGATTTTTGAGTTTACTTAGCTTTAAGATCGAATTCATGGGATGAGATACAACATCAATATGTACAATATCATGTTGCTTTTGCAGACACATCACCATAATATACCTTGAGGTAAACGTTTTTGCTGATAAATATACATCTCATACACAATCATATCCTTTTTAAGAGAGGTGTTGACAGCTAACCATAGTAAGCATAGCATAGACAATGTTTTAACGAAGTTACCCCTCTGAAACGCTCTTCATATATGTTATAGCCAAAGAAGGTTGCAGTCTTTGATAATTTTGCAACTTTAATTTCATTTAACTTTTCGAGGAAAATGACTAAGGAGGGTAACCAACTGTTGAGTTTGTTCTCATTTGGTCTCTTTCCTTTTTTTTTGTACTTAATATACTATCGAACTTGTTGTTTATGTTCACCATAACCCTTTGACCGGCTATCATAGGTTAAAAGTCGGTCAAAAGGGTTATGGTGAACACAAACAACAAGTTCAATGATATATTGAATATAAAAAAAGGAAAGAGACCAAATGAGTACAAACACAAAAGTTAATTACCCTCAAGAGTCATTTTCCCAAACCAAAAAGAAGAAAAAGAAAATCAGAGATTTGATTCCGATTTTGTAGATAGTAATTGTAAGAAGCAGAAATTGAAATCTTAAATAGAAAAAGAAAAAACCACACTAATTGATAAAGATCGAAACATGGGATTCATGTCATTTACCTGAATCGATGATGCAAGAGAGGGGCTGGTAACGAAAAAGAATAAATCAAACATGAAACCTAAAAAAATCAAATTAGAGAGAGATACAACTCCTCAAAAGAAAAAAAATAAAGAAGAATATACCAGCTATGAGAAGTTGAGCAAGAACTTAATTAAAAAAAAAAATTAAAATCAAGAAACCAAACCTGTTAGGCCACAAATCAACCTTCGAAAACCTGAAATAAAACAGTTTTGCGAGTCAGTCAGGTGACCCATTAAAAGTTGAAATCAGATATCATGAACGAAAATAAAGCAAATGTGTGGTGGGGCTTATGAAGTCAAAAATCAAAAGAAGAAGAGGAAGGAGGCATGTCATCAACGATTTCACTAGGATTAGGTTTAGGAAGAACCAACAAACAAACTCGGATTAGACAAATCAGAACTACCCATAGCATCCATGTCACCAGCGGTCGCTAGAGGAAGAATTTGTCGAGCAAACTCTAAGGTTAGTGTTTGTTTTTTGTTTGCATATCTGCGTGACCTCTTCTGTCTGCGCTGCGCAGACAGTAGCGTTCGCAGACTATTTGTTTTTTTTGAAGACAACAAACCTAAAAATGTCTGCGCGCCCTCTTCTTGTCGCAGATGTGGACCAGAGTCTTCTAACATCTTCATACATCTTCTAGCCTAAAAAACATATATATCTTTTTTTTTATTTTTTATTTTTTATTTTATTTTTAAGTTTGTTTATAATTTATAATTTTTCTAACTTTATTAATGATAAACAATTTGAAAAAATATTACAAAACTTAAAAAAAACGTTCGACATTACAAACATGATATTTTTAACAAATTTATAAATAAAAATTTATTACAATAATAGTCGTTGAAGTTGTTTATATAAATATGAAAAAAAAATTATAATATATTCTTATATTTTTTGCCAAATTTTATAAAACATTATTTAATACAGTATCGTCAATTTCTCGAAAAAATATTTATGGTACGTTTTTAATGGATTTAATTGAAAAAATTGAAGTTTATTTCCATCCATTTATGTATCAAATTCTTTGATAACTAATTATAATGTTTAGTTATAACTTTGCAGCCAAAGTTGTTGGTTTTTATAAAATATATACGTTAATTCATACAATTTTTATTTTTATTTTTTATACAATAATACATAAAAGTTGTTCTAAATTTGTTAATTATTTATAACAAAGTCATAAAAATATTAAAAAATCATTTTGATGTTTAAAAAAATCAGTTTATTTAGATTTCAGTTTATTTTAGTAGCCCGCAGATGTTAAAAAAACAAACAGTCTTCATTTTTCAGACTGCAGACATTTGATCCACCTCTTCTACTGCAGAGGTCTACAGATGTGGTCCGCAGACTACATACATTTTGCCTCAGAAAAAACAAATAGCACCTAAGGCATTTGACACTCACCTTATTAACCCGTTTCTCTGATTAGATTTGTTTTGGCCAAAATCATCAAAAATCAAGATAAAAAAGATAAATAGGGTGAGCACGATAAAAATATACCAACCATTCCTTCTTGTTTAGATCAGGATGTCAGCTTCAAAAAAAAAAAAAACCAAAACAAAGAACCCAAATATTATATCTCCTTTCAAAAGAGAAAGATTGTACCTTGTTGATTAGATTGGAGGAATAAGAGATCTGATGATGAGGGATGGCAGTGTGGTGATGGATATTAGGGCTTTTTTTAGAGAGAGATGGTGATGGTAAGAGGTTGAAGGCAACATGTGTCACCTGTTGACCGATTCAATCGGCTAAATGCGAGGAAATACCAATTCAATTTGATTGGTTCATGTTTTAGAAGAGTAGAGATGACCCGCCTATAGCCATTGACTTTTTGACTTTATTGACCAAAATAAGATTGGAATGTATAAATTAATTATACATATAACATTATAATTTATACATCTTAATTTTCAGCCTTTACCTAAATATGTATATTAAGGTATAATATATATATATATATATATATATATATATATATATATATATATATATATATATATATTATTTCCTATATGTCACTCTCTCTATAATAATCTCTCTCTTCATTTTGTTCATATCTCACCAGCCAAACAACCTTGGAATGTTGCTTTCTCACAAACCCTCATTGATAACTATTAATAAAAAAAAACAAGAAATAACAAGGAGGCTATCGGAGCAACCTCCTGCCCTCCCTCTCATCAAACCCACCAGAAACGAAAGTAACGAGAAGTTGTTGTGCCACCATCCCCATCTCCATATGCCTCCATCCTCGTCGACGAGCATCAGAACGACATACGACAGACAGTCGGGAACGCTACCTGCCACCACCATCCTAACCCACCACCTCATTCGACCACCACAACCTCTCCATCATCAATGCCACCTTCAACTCCTCTCCCTCATTGTGAACCACCGGATGCCAAAAAATCGGGCAGCGGAGCTGCCACCCACCACCGATACAACCCACCTCACCACTCACACTGTTGTTGCTATTGGAACCCCACCCCTGACCATCTACCATCTTCCATTGTCCTTATCTCTCTTCATTCTCTCCAATAGAAAGGAAGAAAGGGAGTGGAGGCCACCATCGTAAGCCAATTACCACCACCAGCTGCCATCCTTGTTGCTGCTGACGTGTGGAATCCGACCAACCACCTCACTGCTGCCATAGTAACTCCTCCGCCACCATCATCTTTCATTCCCTACACCTCCCTTTGCTGTTTGTTAATCAAATCAAGGAAGATGATTTTTTTTAGTTTCGTCGGTGGTGAATGAGAACAGATGAGAGGGACATCTTCCCCCTCATATCTCAATCTTTGAATTAATATGTTAAAAAACCACCCCTTAGTCCAATTGACTAACAAATCTAGTCCTAATTGTCTAAACTTACCCTTAAAATAAACATAATGACCCCTCCATGGATAATTGTCTTCAAAATTGACCCCATTATCAAACTTGGATTTTAAATATACTTTTCAGCCCCTGCTTTGCAAATAAGTTACGAAATCAGTCCCTTATTGAATGAGTTTGGTAAAATCACTCCCTATAATTAATTAATTTACGAAACCACCCACATACTTGTTAAATAATAAAACTACCCTTTTGGTTTATTAGGTAACAAAAATAGTCTTAGTGATTTATTTTGAGCGTAGCGTTTCTCACGTCATGCTTAGTTCATGAATTTACAAGTTTAAGGTGAGTGCTCATGGCCCCTTTTTTTAACGTTTTACTATTTTGGGGGAGAATACATATGAAAAACATTTATCGATTATGAAATATTGTTAGGGGTGTCTAACACAACAAATAATAGGGGTAGAACAGACTCCAAATACACTGCTTTAATACACTAAAAAGTAGTTCAAGGCAAAAAGGGTCATTCCACATAGACCCGTGGCTAATGTATAACTAATTAAAGTATGTAACAAGGGCAGCCGAGGGGGGGGGGGGGTGGTATGTGGGGTTTTGCATGTAACAATTCAAATAAATGAAACAAAGGACAAACAAATGATTAACTAATTAAAGTAAATTCAGATTTTTTTAAAGACTCCAACTCTATGTATAATGACTTAGCAATGTGATTCCAAGATGACATGATATTTGTTGAATTCTACCAAAATTGGTACTTGAAAAGGGGTTAACAAGTTCTAATATTTTCCATTCACCACATTAATTAACCAAAATAAGCTCTTTGATTCACCCTAACCCCACTAACCTAATCTAAACAAGCTCTTAGAGTTAGATTGAAAGATTGCATCAAACTTTATGTGAATGTTCCCAAAAACATTCAATACTCCTCATAAGCTCAGGAGCATAGGAATGTTTGAATATGATTTACACTAGATTTATTCAAAAGAATTCAATTTAGTGCTTGTTACTTGCTCTATTTCACAAACAATTACGGGTTTTGCAAAATAGATAACTTAAATGACCTAACCCTAATTCAAATGGCCAATAAGACCTAAAATTAAAATCAACCATTCGATTGAAACGAAATCAGATTCACTAGATAGAAACTAGAAACAAACATCAAATCACATTATTAAAATCACAACTATAAGTCATGACATAAAGTTGGAGAACTAGGGTTCTAGTCACACATGACTAGAACAATCAACAAGTCTAGAAAAGATGAAATAATCCACATACGAGACTTACAAATCCTACGAAATTTTTTTCCAAAATGATTAGAATTAAAACCTTGCAAAAATCTTCGAAATTGTTCTTCTCCCCTGCTGTCGAAAATGAAGTATGTCCATAAAAGATGATCCTAATCCCGTAATATGAAAGATAGGAAAAATTATCAAAAGTTAGTTTTTAGTTTGAACATGCCCCGTGTTGAAATAGAGTAAATCAACACGGGTCGTGTTGGGTAGAAATATGCAAGCCGTCATCAAGTCTTCTACCAAAGTGCAATGCTAAAAAACGCTCAGCTGGACCAACAAAACCCGTGTTCCAATAGGCTAAACTGACACGGTTCGTGTTCAACATGGTCAACGACTTCTTTTTTGTCAAACACAACCCATGCTCATTTTTCAGTGCAAATCCAGCACGCCTCATGTTCGCTCCTGCTAGGTCCAATATTGATTTTTCCAATTTTTCCGTTTTGCATCAAACCTTTGTCTTGACATGTTTTTATTCTTTTTTTAACATATTTTACATGTTTTTGATTTCCTTTTAATCATATTTTAGAAATTTGTTTTACACAAGATTTTCGTGTTTTTCATAGCTCCGTTTTTACAAGGTGGAATTGTGTTGTACAACTTCTTTGTTTTTATTATTTTTTTTAAAATTATGTTGCATTTTTTTATCCAGTGAGTTTGTTCATAACAAAATATTTTGTAAACTTAAAATTTAGAATTTAGAATGAAGTATAAACGTATATAAAAACTAAGTAGTAGAAAAAGGTTTCAAATTGAAATTGTAATTAAGTGGGTGTTTGAGATTTCATTTTGAACCTAAAAATGAATTTTAGGCAAAAGGACTTAATGACTTATTATGGTGAGAATTAATTTTTTTAAAAAGTGTTTAGATTAGATGGTCGGTAAATATAATAAGTCAATAACTTGTTTTATAAGAAGTGCTTGCCTTCGCTTATATATGTTTTAAGGGTATTTGTGTTTTACAACCCAAAAAGTTATATGGAGTTTTGATAAGATATAAATCTAAACTTATTGAAATTTCCTTTTTGAAAAATTAATGAGAAGTTATTTTAAAAGACTTTTTTATATTGCCAAATACTTTTTGACTTGTAGAATTTTCAGAAAGATAATAGATCAATAAGTTGTTTTTAAATGAAATATCAAAAACCTTCTAAATAACATACATAAATGTGTCAAAACAAAGTTGTGAACAACATAATTTTTTTTTGTAAATGTGTCAAAACATATTATAGCATGTCATTAGGATGTATGTAATGGATGTATATATGCTCTTGGTTTGGTTTGGTTTCGGTGAATTTTCAACTCAATTTGGGTTTATATGATCACAACCAAATCAAACCCGAATTGGTCTGAAAGCGAATTAACATTTTTTACAAACTGAATGTCTATATCGACCCGGTTCGGTTTTTACGCTTCATATGCTCATCCTGATCGTGGACATAGTTTTACGAAGACATAGTTGTACGACGAATTTGAGTCTCAATCCTTACCGAAATGGCCATGCGTTTGTAGTAATAATACTTAAATGCTCCATGTATTATCGTTCATTGATGTTCAATTCGGTTTTATCAAATACATACTTTAAAATCATATAATTGATAAAAGATACATTATGTTTCATAAAAATGGTGTTGTTAAATCTTTAACGCAAATACTTACTGATTGTCGACACTAAGAAAACACTTACACATAAAACACGCCTTAATAGCATCCACAATGCATAGTTTAATGGAATAGTTGAATGGGGTGGAATGCGTAGTTGGTGTTAAATGGATTTTGTATAGTTAAATGTATTGTTTGAAAATATTCTAATTGATAACAAAATAGAGTAAATATTGATTGTTGATAGGTTTAGATCTAAATACAACTTATCAAGTTCTAGGTCTAATTACAACTTATCAACTGATTCCTATGTATTTTCCCATTTTTAGTTAGAAATATAGTCAATATTGATTGTTAATATGTTGAGGTCTAAATACAATTTATCAAGGGGTTCATGTATTGTTTGGTTATGTTTTACATTGTTCTATTTTGGTGGAAGTATTAATTGATAATAAAATAGAGTAGACTGCCACCCTCCCCTCCCCTCCCCTCCCCTCCCCTAACTTCGTCTTTCTCCGACAAGCTCCATAACCATTGCTCAAATTTGTGTCATCACCAGCCATTAAAGAAACTTTGAAATTATAAGTGGTAGAGTGGAGTAAGGAGACGACCCAGTTATGCAGTTCGATGGTGGTTACTAGAGTGGAGTAAGGAGATGACCCAGTTATGCTGAAGACTCTGTATGAATGGTAGATCTATGTGTAGGTATGAAGTATACCACTATGCTAATAGCAATCAGTGGGTAAGTGATGGATATGTTAAGGAAGTGTGATGAGGACTTTGTATAGGTTATCAGTTGTGTGTTCAGGTTCCGAGTATATGTGTTATGGAATGGCATCGTGATCTACACGTGGATAGTGTAGAGAGAAGTTTTGATGTTGTGGCAATGACTGATGTTG